CGGAAGATTCTATCAGTTAAGTAAGATTTTAAGATGTCTCAATATTGTCTAGGTAAAAGTATATTTATTTTATATTCAAGGCCCTCTACCCAAAAATTGTTGTTTGTTAGTCAGGATCTATGACTGTAAAATTTTATTTTATAGAAACTTGTAATAAAATAAACTACACTCCGTGATACGTGTTGTGACTAGTTTACAATATTATATTTAGACATAAATACATGTTACTTCATTAGAAGCTCTAAAAAGACATTGAATTGATTTCTCCTTGTGTTTTACATGTGATTTGTATCCTGTTTTACAATCTGGAACGAAGTAAATCTTGCTTTAATGTATTTGTCACTCATGTTACTTGTACTCAGGTTCCTTTTTTTCATATTATTTTGATTCTTTTCACCAATTTTTTTAAAAAATCACTCCATTTTACATTGACTTATATAGAAAATGAACAGCAGTGACGTTCGACCTGCCAACTACAGTCAATTTAGCGAACTTTATAAAAAGAAAAACAAATTTGAAATCATTGCCGATTCGCCTTCTTATCTCTAGTCTTCATAATCATGACGAACATAGCAATTAATTCTGAGTTTTATATTAAGTACCTAAATTTTAGGTCTTTTATTCATTTGTATTTGGATTTCATTTTAGAACTTTTTCTTTCGTTACTTTTTATGTCTAACCCTAGATGCTGATGCAGCAGCAGCAGCAGCAACAAAATGCACACCTATAAATTCAAGATCCATTTGCTGTAGGCCAGCAATTTTAGAAAATGGTAACGTGAATAAAATATATTTCCATTTCAACAAAGCACAAGTCGCGTTATGGTTTTATTTATCGTTCTTAACCTAGTTTGGATTTCCATGTGTGTTTTCTGTCGAGCAACGAGGCCTTGAGTGGGTTACAGAATATAAAAGTAGCCGCGATTACGAAACAAATGCCCGCGATTTTACATAAAAAGAATAAAAGCAAATATCTACGACAAACTGTAGGTATGTGTTAAATGCACAACGCGAATATATGCGTTGTTTATTTACTAGTGCCAATCATTTGAAAGAATGTATCAATTTGAAGAATGATGAATCAAAATATAACACATATTAGAAATGTAAATAAATCAAAAGCAGCTCATTTTAATTTTGTTTTTTTTTTGTGCATTGTAAATAAACCTCACGGAATATATAGTATATTTCATTATTCATCCAGAAAATAGGATTTTTCCCACGCGCACGGAATGTCATGCATGCGTGGGAATAGTAGTTTGTGCAACAAGAGTGGATATGATGGCTATATCGTACGAAGACTAAGTTTGAATAAAAAAAATGATCAGCTGGGATTTGAGCCCCGGTCCTTGGAATGGGAATACTTCAATCGCTACCAACTTTTACATTTTTTATGGCGTAAAATTTGTAATATAATTGGTTTTAGATAGTTTTATTAAAATTTAAACGAATATCCATCCAGTGAATTGCCATTATTTATCGATTCTTCGCAAAAATCACTCATTTTTAATTATATTTAATCTCGATAACTAAAAATATACTGACAATTAATTTGAAAGAATTATCACTTATTTAAAATAAAAAAAAAATAGACAAGTCATTAAATGTGATTGGTGAATTTCATATCCATGCAGTGTCCTTACTAGAATGGATATGAAATTATATCCGTTTAGTAGAACGCAATGGTTTGCGGTACGTGCGTAGAATAGATAATATCTATGTGGATGAAGAAAAGACTTTCTGAATAAGTAATAAACGTTACAACTCTTTGAAAACTATACAAAATACGATATTATCTTGTTGATGTATTTGACAGTTTAGTAATTTACAGTTACAGTAGAAAATGTTGACATGAAAACTTTGGCTAAAGCTAGCAACTCTAGTAGACTAATATACCCTTACGCTAGTGGAGTATGCAAAATAATATTTTTACAATTATTAATAATGTCAAAAAATATCTAATTAATAAACAGGATTTTTGGACGGACAACAAATGACACAATTCAGAATTCCTAATGGCGTTGTATCAATCGATCATTTTTTTTATTTTGTAAAATGTTTTTCTACATCCACATGGTCTACGCACAGACTACAAAACCAAAAAGTATGATATTGCGATCAACTGAACGATTATATTTTATATCCATTCTAAGTAGTGAGAACAGTGCAAAAAAATGAAATCCACCAATCACAGTTAGTTCATATTTTGGTCAACTGAATGTTATTATTTTTAAAATTTTAAATAGGTGACAATTCTGTCAAAGTAATTGTCAGTTTTTTTTTAGCTATTGAGATTAAACATACTTTATGAGTTATTCTTGTCTAGAATCGATAAATAATAGCATTCTTATTTTGATAAATAATACTATATGAAGTCAATTTAATTAAGAGTATTAAAGCAAAAATATTAAGCGCATAGGTGGTGGTGTCAACGCACTTGCCTTTCATGTGGAAGGCCCGAGTTCAAATCTCAGATAGGGACAAATTAAATCTTTTTTTTTTCTTGTTCATGTTATTTTATAAATTAGTAAAAGTCATAAAATATTTTTAAATTAGTTATTTTATCTTAATAGCCTAAAATAATTTTTAATATTTGTAGATTTTCGTTAGTGCGTCGTAGAAAAAAAATATACTGTACAACTCGAGTGGATTGTCCATATCCGCTTTTGTTGCACAAATACTATTGATGCCGTTTTAGCGTCGAAACGGGAAACCTTCACTTTATCTTCTCAAAACCATTATGGAAACAGGGTGTTTTCAAAAAGGCGTAAGTAACGTAATAATAGTCTGTGCAACAAGAGTGGATATGGACAAGCCACTCGAGTTGTACGGTATATTTTTTCTAGGGCCCACTAACGAAAATCTACAAATTTTAAAAATTAGTTTAGATTATTAAGACAAAATAACTAATTTTAAAAAATAACTTTAACTACTTAATTTACAAAATAAACATAAAAAATACAAAAATAAACAAAATAAACAAAAAACAAAAAAAAAACAAAAAAAAAACAAAAGAAACAAAAAAGATTTAATTTAATTAGTCCCCAGTCCAGATTTGAAGCCGGGGCTCTCGAATGGAAGCCAAACCTCTGTTCTCACCTCCACCGACACACCATTTTAGTTTCAATACTCGTAATTAAATTAGTTTCATATACTTTGATTAAAATTATTTATTTGTAAATGTGGACGAAAAAAAAATAATAGTAGCCGGGTGACCAAAATATGAACTGTGATTGGTGGATTTCATTTTTTTGTTAGGTTCTTACTAGGTAGAATGGATATGAAATATATTCGTTCAGTTGAACGCAATGGCATATTCTTTCGTTTTATAGTCTGTGCGTAGATAAGCTAATTAATATCCATGTGGGTGTAGTAAAAATACATTCTATGCGTATTCCTTCCAATAGATTTAATTAGGACTGTGGGCCGTGTGGCGTCCCCCACCTCAACCTCTTATCAGTTAGGCTCAGGAAAAATAGTCCTTGTTTTTTTTTTTTTTGAAAATGGCAAAAAATCCAAATATTGCTTATTTGTAACTATTTTACTGAAATAAATGTTCATCCAAAATTACTTTCTTGCACGTACCTCAGGTGAGTCTGATTAAGGGTTAAATAAGTAACTTAAATATTTTCATGTAGAACACAATGAAAATATTTAAAAAAAAAACATTCATACATTTTTCATAAATTGGCAGGCTTGGCGACTACTATTTCGAATAAAATAATAAAATAGCGTCCAAGATGGAAGGTTATGTCGCAACCCCCTTAGATATACGAGCCCTTCTCACCGGCAGCTATTATTGTTTGGTAGGAAAAAAGTATTATAAAAAAATATTTATCTAAGTGTCAGAGTTTGAAATACTATAATTGTGATGGTGTATAACAATAATTACTTTAACCGTTCTAAAAAGGAAACATTAGGTAGGGATGTCAATTTAAAAATTGCAGTAGATCGAATCGTCTAATGTATTATTGAATCACCCTATATGTTTTACAGAAACTACGTAGATAATAATGATAATTATTATATATAGATAGGTATATGAGGAAAAAATCGAAAAATTAGGATTAATCTTCCATCACTAGGTAAGTTGATTAATCTTTAAATTTAATTATTTAATTTTTATAAGCCCGTCCCAATTAGAAATAATATTGTATGCTTAAAAAACGTCTAGATTTTTTTTAATTACCTATTTTATTTTCAGCAGGTAAGTACCTACCATAGTATTCAATTTTTATAAGCCCCGCCCCAATTAGAAATAATATTTACATAAATTAATATTTTATTTTCAGCAGATACCTACCTAGGTACCTGCCCACAAACTCGCATGGAACAATATTGTGTTAGTTTTTAAAATCACATTTAATTTAATTGAGTAGGTACGTACATTATCTAAAATCCAAAGTCAATATCATTTTTTTTATTATTTATTTTGTACCTAATAATGAATTGTGAATTTAAAATGAAAAACGCTCTTTGAATGACATAACTTTTGATTTCCGTAACACATAATATGCGTGACGTCACCAACTTCATGATCAATGGAGCAAAGAAGGTGAATTTAGCCGCATATAGGTCAAGCAGAAACCAGATCAAAGACAGAGAAAACAGAAGGTAAAACCATCTTGTCTGCTAAGCGAGTAGAAGTGCTGTTAAATAATACCACTTTCCTTTCTTATCTAATGCGATCGTTAATGAATCATTAGGAACACGTTATAAAATAATGAAAACATTCAACCATAACCAATCGAATCTTTGTAGGCACTTTAACAATGCAAAAAAATAAGCCAGTGCGAGCGTAGTTGACTCCCACATAGCAGCTGATCAGTGTAAAGCATTAGATCATAGAGATCTAATTAGAGTAGGTAGCGTTCCTTCCATCTATTACATGTATTTTACTAGGTTAATTACGTTCCATTTGACATTGAACGACTGACAGTTGCGTCTACGTCATACGCGTGTGGAAACAAAAAAAAACGATGCATTCAAATTCCCACTCACCTGAGCTGAAGTGGGAGCGTTTCGTGTCCCCGTTTTCGGCGTCCCCGTCCAGCGGCCTTTTCCTGGAGTCGGCGATTTCTGGCGAAGGGCAGGTTTCCATTCCCGAATCGGCAGCCATCTTGGTCGTTGTTGATCCGCGTTCTTCAATTGTCATTAGAGTTCGGCGCGAACGGATAGAAAATTCGCACTGAACTAAACACAGAAGCACACGCGTCACAAAAAGATTGTCTCGATGATGCGCGCTACCTTGCTTGCAGTGCGCACGACACTTGAACACTGAGAGTGAGCGCCAACTATTGCGATTCGCTTCCACCAGTACTCGGCCCTCGGACCCCCAGAAAATTTCCGTCAAGCGGAGTCGGGCTGATTAGATAGCGGCTCCATAAATCTTCCCACCTCTAGTTCTTAACCTGACCTTCGGATTTGTGTTGTTAGTCCGTCTTCATATAGGCTCTGCAGTGCAAATAAAATTATTATTAATAAAATTAATCATTATTTTTTAACCCTTTTTAAAAATAGATTACACTCCTACACTGCCTATTTCCCAAAGCGCACAGTTTTTGTTTGTTAAATACGAGGGCTGTTCTCTTTCCGTTGAGTCTATCTATTATGCGATGTTATTTTTGCAACAAATTTTGTGTGATACTGCATAAAAAATCAAGTTCTTCCTGTGTTAAATTTCTAAAAAAAAAGGTCCTCAGCTTGTATTTTTCGTAAACCAGGCCTTTTTGTGGTGAACTTCTAAAACGATTTTTCCCCCCTGTACCCCTGCCCCACCCGTTGCTAGTTGTCAAATATACCTATAATCCTCTTGCCAATAAGTGATGGAAATAAACAAGTATTATCGTGCTGTGATTTATTACAATTTCAAGCGTGGCTTAACCCTTTATAGGACAGTGGTTAGTGCAGTAAATGATTAATAAACACAAATTCAAACGGGCGAAGTTGACGCTGTGTAAGCAAGTGTAGACTACTTGCAACTACTTGCAAGATTTTTCGAAAATAATTTTGCTGTGTAATTTAGGTAAGTACAATATTTAATTTATTATTATTGATACAAAAACAGTTAGCGTTGACGAAATATAAGCACCGAAAGTGGAAATAATGACTTCTAACCTCTAATTGAGTGTACTGTCATACAATTTTTTCATTTCAGAATGGCAAATTTCAAATTTAGAGATTTAGAACAGATGGATGGTGATGATTTATTTGATCTATTGGACGACATTGATGTAGAACAAGCAGACAATTCAGAATATGGTGGTCACAACAGCGATGCGGTGGATATTTTTGATCTCATTGAACGTTCAAATTTTTACTCGATGTAACCCTAGTGGATCTAACGATGACTCACCTGTACAGGTTTTTAACGAATCGAGTTGCAATATTTTAAAAATGAAAACAAAATCAGTACTAGATATAAGGAGGCGAATCGGCCTTGGTCAAATTTCAAATTTCCGTCCCTATTTTTATGGAGTTTCAAAAAACTACTGTAGTTGGCGGGTGGCAAAATAACGTCGTCTATTTTCTATGCAAGTCAATGGGAATTAAAGTGATTTTGGTAAAATTTAGTGAAAAGAATAAAAATAAGCTGAAATAAAGTACCTGACTACAAGTAACAATGAGTAACAAAAAACGGCAAAGCAGGATTTGCTTCGTTGCGGGTTGAAAAACGGGATATAAATCCGATATAAAATTAAAGAAAACACCACGAGATAAAAATCCAAGTCTTTTTAAAGCTCCTAGTGTAAGTAAAATAATGTATTTATTTCTAAATAATATTATTATAAAATAGTCACAACTCGTATCTTACGGAGTGTAGTTTATTTAATTACAAAATTCTATAATAAAAAATAATAAAGTCATAAATCCTGACTTACAAACAACAATAATTACACATTAAATTTAACTTACTAGAAAAGAAAATTTTCTTTTTTTATGTTTTTTGATGTTAGCTGAAGAGTTACTACTGTTATTTTTCTTTATTGAACTCCAATTTAGTCATTGCAAATATTTTTTATAGGATCCTAAACGTTTAGAACAATGGCAGCATGTGATTCCTAGGGCTGATAAAGTATTGTCTAGTTATGATTCTGTTTGCGAGCTACACTTTTTAGAAGATGATATTTTAAAATTTGATGAAACTATTTTAACTAATGGCACTGTTAACAAAATAAAAAGGAAAAGACCGAGATTAAAGTACGAAGCAATACCATGTATATTTCCGAATCTCCTTCATACTTGTCTATTATTAGGAAAAGACGAAACCACCATCCCAGACAACACACCAAATCCCAGAGATATTCACAGAATATCTTTTGTGGATATCCAATATATCCACAGGATATCAGAAATATTCGGTGGATCTAATATGGATATCCAAATGTCCGTCTATATCCAGAATATAGAAGATATCCTAATGGATATCCAGCAAAATATCTAATGGGTATCTTCCAGACAATACAAGAAATCCCAGAGATATCCACAGAATATATTTTGTGAATATTCAATATATCCAATATGGATATCCAACCAATTGTCCGTCTATATCCCAGGATATAGAAGATATTCGGATATTCAGCAAAATATTTTATGGGTATCTTTAGTAGAGGTTCATAAGTAACCAATGATTATTGAATTAACGTCGAAAGAAAATAGCAGAGATAAAAAATATTTTCAACACTCAAAATATTTTCAACACTCTGCCTTTGATTTTGCCTACTAAGGAGAAAATTCATCCTTATTAGGACTCTTCAGCAATAAATGGAAATTCTCGACTCCAGTCTCTAATGGAGTGATTACGACACAAATTTCGATCGAACTCAATTACGGCGGGTCGAGCATGAGTAGATGCGACAGTGGTATCGCCATCTATACTTAGTAAGCAAAATCAAATAACATCTAGTGGATATCCACGATGGTTTGCGTTCGCGCCTAAACTTTGATATATTTAGTGGATGTCCATGGGATATTGAATACACCTTAAAAAAATTAATTTTAAATATCTGAACGGTACTATTAGCTACAATGGCGAGCACAATGGCGTAATTTTTTAATAATTTGCTATATAATTACTATTATTTATGAACATTTGCATGTCTATAAATTACATTTCATGTATATAAAATAGATATCCACCATAGCCTGGATATTCAGAGGATATTGAGATGTTCAGTAGATATCCAAAGGATTTGGTGTGCTTTCTGGGGCATTGAACCGAAATGAATTTGTTAGAATAAAAAAAAGGAAGAAAATACTAGAACCTATTGCTGAAGAAACTATTTACCAGGATGATGAAATTGTAGTTGTCGAATACAAAATTACCACAAAACTGTTCTTACCAAATTTCACCATTTAACAAACCTTTTCAAATTTGGTCATACCTAATTTTTATTTTATTTAGATAAAATTAAATAATGAATAGTAAATAATGTTTAACATAAAGACTCATTTATAATTAATACCAACAGTATTTTCTGTACTTTAGTTAGTAATTAAAACAAAGACTTATTTACAATAATTAAAATCAACAGTATTTTCTGTGCTTTAGTTAGCAATAAACAATTTGATTTTTATTATTTTCATACAATTTTGTAAAATCTCTGACTAAATATTTTCATTTAAACTGTGTCTTAGTATGCCCGCAGCCTTATTTAGCTTTAATTAAAAAAATAATTAGCCCTACCCATCAAATTTCAACACTTATCAATAATTTGCATTTTACTAAATACTAGTAAATAATGTATCAATTAAAATATGTAAGACTTATTTAGAACTAAATACAACAGTATGTTCTGTGCTTTATTTCGCTATAAACAAGTTTATTTTTATTATTTTGACAAAATTATGTATAATTCCCATAAGAAGCCATGTATTTTGAACTACGTAAACCGTACAGCGCCCATGCGGTTAATTATAAAAGCTCAATTGACGTGTGGTTTTTGGGACCGTATTTTGAGCATGCCGATTCGCCTCCTTATCTCTAGTCTTCATCATAATCAGTAAACACTGCACAAGCTACAGACCTCAACGTATTTGATCCATATGACTCGGAGGATTCTATGGCAGATCCAAATTATGAACTGTCAAACACAAGCTTGTATGATACAAATACTAAGTTACTCAGAAAATCATCTAAACAATCTACGTCTAATAAACATACAACAGAATGTAATGAAAAGCTTATAGCAGAGCAAGACGTTGGCGATCCGAGAATACCGATCAAGGAGAAGCGACAGTCGCACAGTGTGTCAGAATGCCCCTAAAATGTTGAAAAATTCAAAAATAACAAACTACTGAAATATCAATAAATTTTTATAGAACACAACTAAGTAGGCTCTGGAGCATTCTAATACAGTAGAATCACTGTCATCGGTTGTCTTGGATACACGCTAGTATACCGCAAACTTTGACATGTTTTTTGTTGAGTTATCTTCAGTTTTTTTTTTCTAAGAGTGTCTTAAAGTTTCGCTCAATATTTAAAGCAGTGCTTCATTTTGAAAGTTTTAAGATGGGTGACAATTATGCAGGTAAGTTTATACTTTTTTAGCAAACTCTTAGTTTTTGTTTATGTATGAAGACGTGGAAATATTGGCAATATTAGAAAAAGGGTTTTTTCATTACATTTAAATATTATTTTTCAAGTTTTGGTACGGATATCCTAATGAGTTACATAAAGTTACACTATTTACTATATATACCTTTTATCTTTTAGTATACTACTTTGTACCAAACTTCAAATTAGCTGCTACTTTTTGCTACCTTCTTGGTAAAATCCATATAAGTATTAGTAGTACAGTACACTTTTACGGGCTACGAAAAGTGTTGCGAAAGACTTTGGTACTTACAGAACAAAGTACTCCGTTAATTTTACTGATTTTTTTGCATGTTTACAGAAACAAATAAAACACATTATCTTGAAAACTAAGGCATATGCAAATTTTATCTATTAAGCCTTTTCTATGTGTACTTCTAGAGCCAAGAAATCATCAAATGCGGGTACGAGAAATTTTTGAAAAGGGAAAAGAGATGAAAAAGATTTATGAAACATTATTGACCTTAAGTTGTCAACACTGCCAAGAACAAAATAAACAAAATATAAAACATATAGCAAGAAATTTTAGTATTCAGTTTAAGAGAAGGTGGGCTAAAGCTTGCCGAATAAAACAAAAATTTTGTGAAACTAATAGACTCTGGCTGGGAAATTACGTCGTTTTACCATGTGCTTTACATAAAGGAGGAAGGCCCAAAGAAAACTTTGAAAATTTAGGTTATTCCGCAAAATATAAAAGAACCAAACAATTAAGAACGTTTGATACGAATGAGCTTTTATTTGCCTCTAAAATGGGTTTAAGATCGGCTGGAAAATCACAAGCAGCAAAAAATTTACAAAATATCGAAGAAGAAACACCCAATGCGACTAAAGTAAATCGTCTTAGCAGTGACAGTGCTTT